TCTACTACAATTATAAACCTCATTAAGCATGTTTATGAAGTCATAATTGGTGCTTAATTTGGTGTGTTCACTTTTCACATAAACTTGTATTTTTCACATTACTGCAAATAAATTGCTTTGAGTGTGAATGTTTATGGTGAACTTGCAATTTTGAAGCCCCTAAAAATTTCAAAGATTCAACCTTTAATTGTTTATTTGGTTGGAACTTTGATTGCAAAATTCCATGTTGAATTAAATTTTGGATTTAATCATTTTTGTGTTGATTAAAGTCCTTAAAGTTCAAAACTTGTGATTGAATTTTGATTAATCTTCATATTGGAAGATGTAAATTTTTCAATTTTACACAAGTTGTTGTTGGGAAATTTTTCATTGGATGAAAGGGTTTAATTTTCCAAACCCCTTAATTTTGTCAAATCTCATTATCAATTTACATTTGATTAAATTAATAATGAATGTAGCCCTTCAATTTTGAAGCATCAATATAGACCTAAGTTGATTTAAAGAATGGTTCTTGAATAATTTAGCCTTGTGCACTATTTAAATTGAATTTAATTAAGTTGGACTTGTTTTAATTTCATTTTTCCCTATTTGTTGGATTCAAAATTTAATTAAGTATTATATATAAAAAAACAAAATATTTGTTGGATTCACAAGTCTTTTACACTATTCTTTTTCTTGAAAATGGCTTTTTTTTTTAATTAATATAATAATTTTACTAAATGAAATTTCAAAAAAGTAATGATAAATGCTATCCGCTTAAAAACTCTTGAAATACTTTTTAGTTAAGTGGGCACACAATAGAAATTACAATTTTTGTAAACACCCAATTAAGCATTAATAACAACAATGTAATATAGTTCCCTCTAGGTTTTCTTCTTGGAAGTGTTCTCTTAGTTTCCTCTAGTGTTTTTTCCTGGGAAAGATTTTTCGCCTTCATTGCTAGATTATTTTTCCATTATTTTAAAGGTTTTTCTTCTCTCTTCTCCCTTTTCTCTCCGTCTCTTTTTCTCTTGGTCTCAGTTGTGAATCTTTGTAAGTATTTTCACTGGTGTTCTTACCGGTGTTAAGTTTGAAAAACTTTTTAATTGCTTTTAATGAACAAATCTCATCCTTGGGATGATGATTCTCTCTTGTGTTTATTTTCTGTTTCTGTTTGTATGTGAAAATTGAAGATTTAGGGTTTCATAATCTTCACAAGAATTCAGAGGACACCATGAGCTGATTATTTTCACTCAAATGACTACGTATCAGTGGATTGCAACAAGCCGAATTAATGCTAACTCACAGATTGTATTGCTTCATATGAATATTTTAATAAGGCGATTATTAGTTGAATCTGTGATGTATTTAGATTTAAGGTGTTATGTACTTATGCTGGAATTCTTGTTTACTTAAGAATTGTATGGATTGTCGTTTGACAATATTTTATTAAAGAAATCCCTTTTCACTTATATTATTAAAAAAAAAAATCTTATATATAACTGGCCATCACAAGGGCTACGCGTTAGTGTTATAGGGGGTACTCACTCAATGTTACAGGGGTTACTTTGTTAGTGTTGTAGGGGTTATTCGGTTAGTGTTATAGGTTACTTTATCAGTGTTGTAGGGGTTACTCGGTCAGTATTATAGGGGTTACTCAGTTAATATTATAGGAATTACTTTGTTCATTACAAGTGATCACATGGTGTAGTCAACCGCAAATTTAAATAGTAATGAAGTTAGAATGCTTTTTATTTATTCCACCTCTGAATTTAAATAGTAATATTAATCAACGTAGTGGATAGCTACTCTTAATTATGATTTTGTTAATCTTTCTTCTTTTGCAGTATCTTCGACTGTCGAGTATTGACTATAAACTTCGTATGACCATTGCAAATTTTATCCGCCATTATGATTGCCAGCAACCCATTAACTGATGATTTTAGAACCCAAAGCAAACTTGTTTTCCATCACTCCATTTACTACTCTAACCGTCTCCAAATAAAGTCTTTTTTTTTTTTTTTTTTTTTGAGATGAATAAAAAACAATATAGTGGCATCTCGTTGATTAAAATTGTATATACTATCTTCATTTCAAATAATTTGCAATGATTTAACATAAAATGTGAATTGAAAATGTCTAATCGTTGCAAATAATTTAAAACGAAGGTAGCATAAAAAACGAGAGATATAGATATATAGTGGCATTTTGTAGATTAAAATTGTATACTATTTCCATTTCAATAGTTTCTTTCTTACTTTTCTTTCTTTTTTTTTTTTTCTCTCTCTCCTCTTCATCATGCAACTTTAATTTTCTTGATTCGTTTACCATTCATATCTAAACTTTACCTACATATTGTCAATATTAATGAATGGCACATTATTGCAAATAAAATAAAACGGAGGTAATATATTAAAAAATAAATAAATAAATAAAAAATGAGAGAATGGAGTATGATGGACAAGTGAATAAAAAAAACAGGTAAAGGTGATTAAAAATAAATTTTAAGGATTACGATATTGGGTTTAATAAAATTTGTATTTGGGATACAGAGAGTACATCATCCCAAAACCAAATAATCAAGGTCTTCAAGGGCTTAGGATGTGTTATATTCACCTGATTTTTACTTATCTGAACTTACCTGAACGTATCTGAACTTACCTGAACTTATTTGAACTTATTAAACCTTATTAAAACTTAACTTAGTTATAATTTGAACTTTGGTAACCCTTATCAGAACTTATTTTTCCTGAACTGAACTTATCTTAACTTATTAAAACTGAAATAAGTTAAAATAAAATGAACAGAACAGACTCTTACTTTGTGGATGTCTTTAATTAATAATAATTTTTTTTGTTCGTTTATCCAATAAACCTTTACTTACTTCCCAAGTATAGTCTAGGTCATTACGTGAGTACTATTCTCAAAGGAAGCACAGATTAATCTCTGAAATTAACATTGCAGTTTATCTCCTGTCACAACTTTATTTACTATTTCACCTTTATTATTTAAAAAATTAAAGAAAAAAAATTACATTGTGAAAGAAAAATACATTTACAGATTTATCTCAAAGTGAAACTTGGATTTTCTCCTATTTTCACCAAGTATAGTAAAAAAAAATGTAGTAAAAATGCTAAAGTAAAGTAATGAAACAGATGGGCTATAAAATGTAACATATGAAATACTTCTTTCGTTCTTTTTTTTTTTAACTAGGTCTCTTTTGCAGTTTTTACACACTATCTTTGGCTGTCAAATATAATCATGTGAGATTTTGTTTGATTTATTTCAAAAAATCTTACTCCGTATCATAATATCCATTTAACTTGTTAGATATAAAATATATTGAGGTAGTAGTTAAATTTATACATTGACAAATGTGATAAATGAAAATGGTCAAATAAAGCCAAACAAACAATAAAAGTATGTTTCAAACATTCGAAATGAGTAAGTACGGCTATAAAGAAAGGTGTAACGTCAAAAAAACATAGAAACGAATGCTTTTGGGTTCTATACTTCTATGATGTCAAAGATATGATACTGATTACTAAATCTAGTTAAGATTATAATTTTCCAGGATGCCCAATTTGATCGCCGGCGATAGGTAATTGCTTTTTAAGTTTTATTATTACTAACGTAACATGCCACCTTAATTATGGAAAGTAACAAAAGGTTATACCAAATAATTTTGTATGATAAATTCATCACTGTTATGAGACTTAACTTTATTTCTAGATAAGGTGTTCCTTAAGTGGATCGACCACATGATTTTATGACGGCTGATGCATCTGGTCTTAAAAAATTGACCAAATTATACTTAAAACTTTACAATAAGACCAGTTTCACTTTTTTACACTAATATATAAATAAATAAATAAAAACGTGCGTATCTCAATCTCGAAGAAAGTTTATCACTCTAGGAATTATAATCTTTGGTAATTAATTACAAGCCACCCTATACTTAGAATTTCTGTGATTGTTTTTCTAAGCTGAATCGAATTAGTGATAAAGAAAACGTCAATTTTACTTGAGCAATTCAGGCTTGTATATGATAACCTTAACATTATGTTTGAATAGAGAGAAATGGAGGAAAAGGAAGAAAAGAGGAAAAAGGAATTGCATCATACTTGGTGTGGATATCTAATACGAGAGAAGGAGAGGAAATTGAAAGAATTCATTTTCCTTCTTTAAATAAATTACTATTTAAAAGGAAAAAAGAATTGCATCATACTTTTGTCATATTCCCTTCACTATTGCATTCAAAATGAACTTACTATTGAAGGAAATCAAACATTAATTTGCCCTCTTTTGTATAATTTTTCCCATTTACTACTTTAAGATGTCAAAAACTCACAAGAATTGTTCAACTTAAGTTTTTTATGCGTTACTTGGTTTGTAACCATTATTATTATTATATTTTTTTTTTTTTTTTTTTTGACGAGAACTTGGTATAATGGACCTTAGCACTATCGTTGGATAGATAAAGGAAAAGGAGGAGAAGGGAAGGGAAAAATGATGAGTTTTCCTTTCAAATCTCTCCAAAGTTGGAGGAATCAATTTCTTACAGTTTAATCTCTCGATTCCCTCCATTTATCTCCCCTTCAACTCCCTTCCTTCCTCATTTCCTATCCAAATGAAAGATATTTCATCCCTCCTATTCCATTTTCCTTCTTTTCCCGCCATTTCTTCACTCCAAACAAAGCATAAGTCCTTGACAATAATGATAAGGAAAGATTCACAGGTGCATTCTTTATCATATTAAGATACTTTGAAATAATAAGACAACTACATTCGAACAGAAGAGAAGTATTTCTCAATTCATTCTTAGCAGCATGCTCTGCAGCTGTCTCATCCAAGCTCATGCAATTGATGCAGTCATGCAGAGGTGATTCAGGTTAGTTGTAGAACAGCATGTATGAAATACAAAGTATGCCTCTACGTCCTTTTAAGGAAAGCAATTGCCGCAACTCAGCGTGAAAAAACAGAGAACACACCATATGGAAAGCAATTGTCGCAACTCAGCATGAAAAAACAGAGAGCACACCTTACATAGATGCTTGAAGGATGGAAAAACATTTAATCATAATTATATAATCAATACACAAAGCACTAGTGTTGAGCATACTCTACCTTTCGTGAAAAATTGAAAGGAAAACAAAAATGCGGAAGAATAGAGAAGAAAATAGGGCTCTTCGGATTTGTTGTAGCTTATTTACACTAAACAAAGCTAAAGCTTTAGAATATACGTGGCTCATCGTGAAAAACCCGAGCTTCCTTTTCTCATAGTGTTGATGAGGAAAACTTCTCCCCCTACTTGCTTGATCCAATTAAACACAGAAAGGTTTATAAGAGACTCGAGAAATTCTACTTATTACACACCTGCGTCCTCTGAGCCCCTTTTGTGTCTGCTAGAGGCTGGTTTACATACACTTGAGAGCAGAAAATCTATGGACAGAGGGATGGAAAAGCATCATGCCCTTTTTGCAGTCTTCGCAGGGCAGATATGTACTTGTGGAATCCACTCAAAGAAGAAAAAACATGCGAGGAAACTAGATCTATGTACTTACACAGGAACCACTTCAGAATCTTGATTATCTTCACAATGCAGTACTAAGCCTTCGACATACATCGGAAGGAGGCATCGTAACCATTGACAGCCTGTAGATAGCGGTTCTGAGGGTGGTACAATCATGAGGATATTCTCATGGCGCCGAACAATGCCCATGACACTGACAGTACTGCCTTCTTTAACATACCTGAACAAGTGAAGAGAAGGAACTGTCAAGAATGACATTAGGTTCTAGTTCTACTCAAACCAAAAACTTGAACACCCTCCACAGCTGCCACCCCAATAGGCCAGTTCACCCCAGTCCTGACCAGGGGTGAAGAAGCACAGGTATGGCCAAGTTGCAAGTTCTGAAACAGGTCTGCTTTCAGCTCAAAAGAGAGCAACAAGGCCTAATTTAATTACCTAATTTATCAAAAAAAAAAAAAAGAAGTTTTAAAAAACACTAAATGACTGCAAATGGACAATACAGCACACGACCAGTCAGTCAGGCAGGCATTATTACCTTGACCAGAACAATCTCAGCCCTGGTCCGTCATAACTGAACCATCACAAGCCTCATTTTCAGGAGAGGCCCAGGGTCAGCTCTTCTCAGAGTTCTCACCCGTCAAAGATAACGACCTAATTCTTTTGGAAAGATTAGAACTAATTATTTAATGGTGCAACCTAAAAGAATATGATATTTTACTTTCTCTTATTTCTTTGGATGCTTTCCTTAACAAGCCATGCCAATAATAATGGAGGATTTCCTTTGGCACATAGGTAGTAAAAAAGCTAGAGTAAAGCTAGGCAGAAGAGTAATACCCTTCTTTTAGGCGCATTATGCGGTCATCACTAGAAAGACTTCGATCAGCTAGCCACTGCAAGAAGTTTGGAGACAAGTCTCTCTTTTCTTTAGTTATGTCGACAACAGTTGCAGTTTCCACTAAAGGGGCCACCTTTGCTCCATAACCAGCTTTAACGAGGGCTCTTAATCCAGAGTGGAAATCTGACACATAAAAATCTGCAACATATTTCTGCAAATATAATACATATGTTTTAGATACAGCAGCTGCTTAGAAAAAAATGCAACAAGATGGATATTTTTCACAAAAATAGATTTTTTCACAAGTCCCTATATTGATTCACACAAATTGGAATGGTCTCAAAGGCAAGCAAAAGCAATAAATTTTTATACACCTAGATTCAGGTAATGTGGTATTCCAGAGAAAGAAAAGTCAACACCAAAAAAGTTTGACAAGAAGACCAATCCCACTTATGAAAGAATTTGTAAGTGGGTGTTTGGTTCATTACAAGGTATGGGTTTGGTATAGGTTTGGAATCACCCAAACCCACACCACTTGTTTTGTCCAAGTCTCCATTCTTCAAATCCCCAAGGTATCAGGTCCTCATACCAAGGGACAGGGTGAGTGGGTTGGAAGAAACCCTCAAGTCCGGAATCAACAAAAACATTAAAACAATTATATCTGTATTTCCGTATGCTATCAATGCTACACCACAATTTCGTTAATTTCCAACACTTAATCTAAGTTACCAAACTAACTTCATGAAAATCAGCAACCTTCAAGTCAACCAATTGCCCACCATTGCTGCAGGCTAGAAACTGCAATAGCCGGAAGAAACTAATGATTTTTCTTACCTTTTTCTTTGGACTCTATCAAAAAAATTTGCTTTGATCATTACGATGCTTTTGGTGATGAGTTATATAGAGTATGATTTGGAGCTATTTTGGTCGTGATTTGAGATGTGGGCAACAATATTTAAGTTTGTTTTTGAAATTATGTGAGCAGCAGTAGAGTGCCCCAATATAGAGTGACAGAGAGAATGTTAATTTTTATTTTGGCTAATGAGATTAACTTTTAAGTTTTTATGCAACCTAACACATGATTTTAGGTATGTTTTTCTTGGTATGACTCATCCAAACCAATAAGTTAGATACCTAACCCCAAACCTAATACTAACAAATGAATCAACACCCCACCCCCCGCCCCCCACGTCCCATTAATGAGTTGTTAGCCAGATTGAAACATAAAGTTGTTTGATCAAACACAACATGAAATCTTGGTGAAGTAGAGTTCCAAATTCAAAATATTTAAAGGAAAAAAAAATACTACTTCTGCTTCATATTATGTGCAACATTTACTAAAAATGGCTACTACACATTATGGGCAACAATGTTTCTTTCCTTTATAAGTTGGCATTTCATTTTCTCTCTCCTCGTCACATGCATCTCTAACTTTCTATTTCCATTCAACACTCACAAAAAAAAAAAATTCTAGGAGTTGGTACAAACCTAAGCTTACTTTTAATTTATTTGCACAGTTCCCAGCTACGAAGGGTAAGTCAACTTCATTGGTAGCGCTGGAACTTAAATTAATTAAGGGAAATTCTCAATAGTAGCCTCAAACTGAGCCAAACTTTTTTCTATTTATCATTGGTAGCTTCATAATTAATAATTTTCTACAATATGGCATTACTAACACTAAAAAGGTTAAAAACACCTTTTAACTTAACCATGATTAAATTATAAATGTTAAGTTCTTAATTAATCTAATTCCCTCCCCCCACCTACCTATTTTAATTGCTCTAACAAACCATTTCAAAAGGCATTTGTACTTTTATTTTTCATTCACCGCCATCATCAGTCACCTTTTTCTTCGAAGAGTCATATGCAGAGGATATTGCTACTTCTATTTTTTGAGCAAAATTCAGAAATTGTTGGAGCAAAGTGTATTGTGAGTGGGTAGTTGGAGCATAATCATCGCATAAGGCAAGGTATGCAATTTTGACCCCGTATGATTCGTATGTGGCCACTTTGTATGCAATTTTGAAAAAGTTTGATCATTTTGTTTGTTATTGTTGCTGGTGGATTGTGTTGTTAGTGCAATTATGAAATTCATGTCCACTATACATAGTTGTAAGATTTTGTTAATGAAATATTGTGTATTCAGTTAAATATTGTAGGGTTTGGTTGATGTTTGAATTGAATTTGTGAGTAATTAATACTTCGTATTAGTTTGATTTAGGGGATATCTTATACAAGTTGCTGGTGTTGTTTTTGATTATTTTGCAGAATGGATGCTCCAGTAGTACTAAAATTTCAATATTTAGGACATGATGTTGATGTTATAATTGATGACATTGATAAGATTATGTTAATTGACCTGATTATAGAGAAGTAGCTAGCAAACTCAATAAACTAACTCCATAATATCCTTCCTTTGAATATGTGTATAATATGCAACAATATGAAATTAAATCAGACCATGATTTGATGGAGATGTTTAATAGGCTACATGATAAGCTTATGATATTCATATGGGTGAGTGAGGCTGAGTACCCTACAGATGTGAGCTCTGCTAAAGATATTAGATCCGATAGGCTAGGTAAACAAAGTATACACCACCAGCCTAATAGGGAAGTCAGTACATGAACCAACTACTTATGTGATTGATGGCCCAAGTAATCCTAATGTAGTGCAAAAGCTTGTACCTATAAGAAAAAAGACACGCGAGAATGATGCAAATTTGACATCCAATGCGGATGACAGTTATAACTTTGATACAGAGATAATGTGGAATGACATGGTTAATATGGGTAACTCCCCACCTAACAGAAGAGGAATAGGGAGGGGTAGAGGGAGGGGTAAAGGAAGAGGAAGGGGGAGGAGTAGTGGTAGAGGAAACCAAAAAGGGTATAAATTTGAAGAATGGTTAGGGATTAATCCCACACTTGCTGAACCTACACCCAAATACAATGAAGACCCTCAAGGTAATCCATCACAACCTATTCATCCACCTCAACCAGAACCAATCCTTGTTCTTAGGAGAAGTCCTAGAAAACAAAAGCTACCAAATCAGCTTATACCAACTCCTGTTATTCCTACCCCTGATATAATTGACAATAACAATAGCAGTGAGAGGTTTTCTGATATAAGTTGTTAATCTAAGTCTTCTATAGCACATGAATTTAGAAGAGGAAAGTTCAATTAACAACAGCAAGGAGGAAAGGTGTATTAGAAGGTAGTAACAGTCTAAGCATTGGAATAGGAAGTAGGAGAAGGTATGTTAACACAGTAATGAGCCTAAGCAATGATGATAATGAGGATTTAGAAAATGATGAAGAAGATGATTATATTCAAGAGAGCAATTTGGATGATGAGGAAGATGATGATGTCAGTTTAGATGAAGAAGGTGGTGCATCTGAGGATGAAGGTGGTCCACTGATCCATGACAATTTTGACCCCTTTGATGATCCGGTATTTGAAGATGACGAAGAAGATGATGACAATTACTTCTTGAAATTGTACAAAAATGGGGAGTTGTATAAGAGTGAAGACTTTGGCAAGATAGTTTTGAGACCTTGGCAATTGTTCATTGACAAACAACACTTAAGGGATTTAGTCAGATACTACTATATACAATGTGGATTTTCTGTCATAGTTGAGAGGGCAAACAACTCAAGGTACACAATTAGTTGTGATGCAGAAGGGTGTGGGTGGAGATTACATGCATCTAAGCTACCAGATGGATTAACATGGGCTATTAAGTCAATTCAAAATGCTGAACACTCTTGCACTGGATTAGATACAAACAATCCAATGGTGACTAGTCTATGGGCCTCAAGGATTTTAATGGAGGACATTAGAGCTAATAATGATATATCTTCAAAGTCTTTGAACATTTTGTTGTTCCAAAGATATGGTATACAAATGGCTTGTAGTACTTTATATAGGGTCAGAAATAGGGCACTGATGGAAATACATGGCAGCCATGATCAATCCTATGCTCATTTGCCACATTATTGTGAGATGGTGAAGATGACAAACCCTGAATCTGCTGCATTTTGTGGTTGGGTTGCATCAGGAGACCCTGAAAGACCACTGATTTTCAAAAGCATATTCACATCATTTAAGGCAGCAGTAGATGGGTTAGTTAGTGGTTGCCGGAGTTTGATTGGTGTGGATGGGGCTCATCTTAAAGGCAACTATGGAGGAGTACTTCTTTCTACAATAGCTTTGGATGCAAATAATGAGCTTTACCCTTTTGCTTGGGCCATTGTTTCCAGGGAAGATGCAGATAGTTGGCTCTTTTTTGTTTGGCAGTTGAAGAACCTACTGAAAGATAGTGGGAGGGGTGAAAGTTGGTGTTTTATTTGAGTAAATACAAGTTTCTCATCATACAATGTTTCTCAAAGGGGTATTTTCGTATTTTTGCTAGAACAAGTAAGGGTACATGTGTCATTTCAGCAAAACAAAAACCCATACACACTACTCTCTCTCTCTCCTCACTGCTCTCTCTCTCTCTCTCCTAACAATGGAAGATTGTAGATCGGGAATATCTTTGACAACGGACAGAAATCTTACAATTAACAACACACAACTATCATTTAGGGTTAACTATGCCCTTAATTAATATATTTTTCTTAGGATGGGGTTGGGGTTTGTTGTGGTGTCTGTGGTTTTGGGCATGAAGTTGGTGGTGTTGGGCATGGTGTTGAAATTCGTCTGCCATTGATGATGGAAAAGCTTGAAGAACATGAGGATGGTTGAAGGAGAAGGAAGAGGGTAAGTCAGCCACAAAAAAACAATAAAATATTTATAAATTTGCTAGTATTTACTATTTTGCCATGTTGAGAAACATCAACGTTTCTCATGTTGAGAAACTGGGGCAAGCCCGTTTTATTTTAGATAGACAGAAGGTATGTATCTTCTTTATTTCAACTATGATTTAGTTAACTTTGTTAATTAGTTATTTTTATTATTTTATATAGTGTAATAATACAATACCACGTATGTAGGGGATTGATTTGGCACTTAATGAACTTTGGTCAGAAGCACCTAGAAGGTATTGTTGTAGACACCTTTGTGCTAACTGGAAAAAAGCCTTTCCCGGGCCTCTTATGCTCTTTTTGTTCCGGAAAGCTTGTGGGGCATACTCACCTTTCACTTTTAAGAAGGCAATGGATCAATTGAACAAGGTTAACCCATCTGGTAGACTTTGGGAGATCAGAGTAGATGGACCAAACACAAATTTAATCCAGAACTTAAATGTGATGTGAATAAGACTAATTTTGTCGAAAGCTTTAATGTGACCCTTGGCATAGATAGATGCAGACCTGTCCTCACTCTCTTAGAAGGTATATTATTCTTGTTATTTTTTCCTTTTCTTTTTTACTTTATTTCTTTATTATTCTATAATAAAATATGCATTAACATTAATAATTTCTTATTGTTGAAGGCATTAGAAGACATACTATGGTCAAAATAGCTACTAGGAGACAGGCATGTGAAGAATGGGAAAGGAATGATATATGTCCTGACATTATAAAAAGGATTCAAAAGCTTAGTCATGATTCTAGAACCTGCAGGCCGTTCATGTGTGGAGATGGAGAGTACAAAATTTTAGATGGAAAGTCAGTTAGCTTGAAGAACCATACATGCCTATGTGGGGCATGGCAACTGTCACGTATTCCGTGTAAACATGGCATGAGAGCAATATTACACACAAAACTAAACCCCCACACTTTTGTGCATGAATGGTACTCATTGAGGAGGTATAAGGCAATTTACAACCATGGCATCAAGTCAATACCAGATATTGAACAATGGCCAGAGATCAACATGCCTTACATACACCCACCAAAAATGAAAAGAGGTGTGGGGAGACCTTGTAGGAACCAAAAAAGAGCAGATGATGAAGCAAATAAAGGTAAAAGAGCTAAAACAGTACAATGTAGCAACTGCAAGGCATTTGGGCATAATACCCAAACCTGTAAAGGAGGGGTGACTGCAAGGAAAAGTACAAGAATAAAGAATCAGAAGAAGCAACCAGCCACAGTTACGAAGAACAAGTACACAAATAGGGCATCAACATCTAATCATAAGTAGTTGATATGCTATGCCTAGTTATGATTTTTAGGTACTAGTTTTTGTGTACTCATGTTTAACATTGGGAATCAGGTGTTTATTTTGCTGTTTAACTCTAATATTTTGGTGAACTAATGCTCAGGATTGAAAACCATGCTACTGCTCTAATTAACAATATCAGTATCTTCATTTAATCTAAAAAAAAAAAAAATTATCTTCATTTTCTCACAAGAAAAACCCACGTATATTGCAGTTGTAATACAATCATCCTAGATCTCTAATGGTAATGGCAAGAAAAAATCTTCAATGGAAAAAAGAGGAAGAAATATTAATAAAAGAGGGGTGGCTGCTACGCTAGGTTAAGAGGGGAAATTTTTGGAGGGAAATGTTGGAGCCAAATATTAAAAAAACATAGGCTGTTATAACTTCTAACCTATTACTAACCTTAGTTAATCATATTAACCACAAAAACATTAAGTTAAAAAGTTATTTTACCTTTTTAGTATTAGTAATGCCATGTTGTAGAAAATTAATAACTATGAGGCTATCAATGATAAATAGAAAAAAGTTTGGCTACCACTGATAAAAAACAAAAGTTTGAGGCTACCATTGAGAATTTCCCATTAATTACAGAGGGAAAAGGATTATGACAGTATTGATTACTAATGGTAATGGTAAAGATCCAGGGATAGAACCTGGCTCCTAATAGACAATAGCAATAGATGATAGTGTCAATCATTAAACTTTCAAAAGTAGAAAATCAAAATCTTACATTTTTCTTCTAGACTGGTTTTGGAGCAACCAACACTAGAGAACTATATATGTACCTAATAAGCCGCTTACATACAAGAAAGTCCAACAAGATCTTTCAGTTCAATAACAGCAATATCTATGCTATATACAACTGCCCAAAAAAGAACTAAGTTAACTGACCTCTGAATGCCTGCATCCCCATGAGAGGCAACGATGTTTGGTGTTTGCATCCTTCCCACCCCATCCTTTGTACTCATACAGCTCAGTTGATACATACACACACCTCGGTACCCTCTGGAACGACGATTCAAGAGGTATACTGCCACATGTAACAACCTGCATCCAGACATATAATATACTTCACAGCTAATAAAGCATACAAAAGGAACAAAAAAATATAAATTTATAACTACAAAATCTTTTGACAGTTATATACTTATATATCCAGTAGGCATGTTCAGTGTTAGGTAAAATAACATGGTTTTGACTTTTGAAAATGATATGTTTACGAAATATCTAGCAATTACATATTTACATATGTCAAGTAAAAACATTAAACATAAAACCACCACACAGATGATAATTTCACAGTTACAAAGCACAGATGACTGATGAGTGATGAGCACATAACTTCGAAGTTCTTTTTTTCTGAGAGTATAATGTGAAGATTTAATGGGAAAGGAAGTGCCACTGCGCTGATATCACAATTACTACAGTAGTAAATTGCTTGTTACTAAAGGTCATAGGCCAATCCATACCAAAATAAGATTCTGAGAAGGTTTACTTTAATAAATTCAGTAAAAATAAGTTCAATTCATTAAATATAATTTCAGAAAAAGTAGAGTCAGTTCAGTAATAATAAATTCAATTTGTAAAAATAAGTTTGATCGAGTAAAAATAGGTTATATTCAATAAACAAGTTCAATTCAGTAAAAATAAGTTTAGGTCAGCAAATATAAAGTGGGGAAAACAAGGTCTAAGTATACGTTTCATCCTGCAGTTGTATGCAATAAAATTTAGTTTCAGGGGAAGATATATATGTATCATGGTAAGAATGATAACATAAAGAAAGAAAATGGCTCAACTAATATAAATTAAAATCACAAAATATTCAAATAGGCACATAAGAACATGAGCAACAATCACAATTTAGAAGTGTAGCCTTGCACGAATTCACCACATGAAGGTAAATATATAGCAACAAATCAAATATCATGGCCTATAGACAAAAAAAAAAAAAAAAAAAAAAAAAAAAAAACCAACACCACCAAGAGTTGGAACCTAAGTTTTCTTCTGCCCATAAAATGCTGTCCTATCGATGCAGTTCAATAGAATAAAAAGAATTCTCTGCTCTACTGATGGATGCAAAGGTGATTCGTTTACTGGATATTAGGCGAGCTAATTATTATAAATAACATTAGTGCATCACGTATTGCTTAGCTGCTTAATTCAATAATTATCACTAGCCATTATCAATAACCGCTCTCTCACAAAGTAATTTCTTTACCTTCTATTAACAATGATTATAATAATAAAAGTAAAATTAAAAACATTACAGAGGACATGAGACAGTAATACAACAACAATACCATAATGACAAGAGTTAAATAATTTATAATTTACATTTTTTTGTGGGGGTGATTTGAACAGCAGGACATAGTTCATCAATCAACAAAAAGCGACAGTTATGTGTCAAACTTCATTACATATGGTCAATGGCTTCTTCCTCCTTTTCATGACAAAGTCCGAGATCCTGTAAATCTAGAAAGCATACTGCAAACTACAGTGGCCTTGCAATAGCAGAAGCTGAAAACAAGTATATTGAAAGGGTTGCCAGTAAATTGACATTGTTCCTAGGGTCGCTCCCATTCCTCTCAAAACAATCTATATTGCAGATTTGAAAGAAACTTTCCAAAATGGACGAAGCACATAGAGGCATAGAGTTTGATTGTCATTATGTCTGAGAGCAATTACAGCAGTCTAGTTGCCCCTGAACATGAGCCAATTACAGAGCAATTACCAGATTTTTCCTCAAGGCTTCGCCTGCCCTCATAGTTATCTTCCTTACTCTTTCCAATTTGGGGCAGGCGTTAGTGTTTTGATAATCAGCAAGCTCAGTAAGGTGGATTATACTACAAGTGATAATCAAAGCATACTCCCTCCCTTCCATAATCTTTACAACATTTTCTGTTTTTGGTTTTTCTCAAACTTTTTGCTACATTTCTCACAAGGTAATTTTCTCTCTACAATTTCACAAATGGTGGGGACTCACACCACCTTATAACAATTTTCTCGTAACTTTTCATTCTCCTTGATTTGTGTTCAAACACCCATGGTGCAAAGACTGTGGAACAAAGGGAGAGTAGTAGTTGTGAATATCTTGCTGACTGTTTAACTTTGTTAGAAATATCGACAAAAGCTAATTAAACCTTATATTTGAGTTGGGAATCTTAACAACTCTTTGGCTGGTGGAAACTGTTGCTTGTACCAGTTGTAAGAGAACATGAGTAGCTTATTCTATCGATCACACTCCCTACTAGCATGCCAATTAAAATAAGGTGAGGGAACTATTTTACTTGTTATGTGACCAAAACATTCCCTTACAATTGAAGGGGAAATTTTACAGGACTGCCATGAGACCAGTGTTGTTCTATGGTACAGAATGTTGGGCTTCAAAGAAGGAGCATATTGAAAAGATGGAGGTTATGGAAATACGGCATGTTACGTTGGATGTGCGGGAACATTCTAAGAGATAGAATCATAAATAAGGTTATTCGCAAGAAAGTGGGTGTGGCGAGTATTGCAGACAAACTAAGGGAATATCGCCTGCGTTGATTTGGGCATATAAGACGGAGACCGGAGGGTGCACCGGTACGAAGAGTGGAAGAGTGGGACTATGAAGGGGTTAAACGAGGGAGGGAGACCGAAAACGACTTGGTTAGAAAGAGTTAGGAAGGATATGAAGTATATGGATAACTACACGGAATAATCACTTCTGGTTTATGTAGCCGACCCCACTTATTAGATAAAGGCTTTGATTGATTCAATCCTTATTAGATATATTTGTATTAAACAAAAGTTAAACAGTCTTATTACCAAGGCAAAGCATATTAGACACACTAGCAATCCCAAGACAGCCCATTCCATAGGACCCAAGGCAAATCTCACTAGATCCTTGAATCAAGACATAAATGATGATGTTAATGCTCATACCACATTTGCAATTGCTTGTATAATCTTAAAACAGAGTATTTTACCTGTGACAATTAAGAACCTTAATTTTGTGACTTTATCAGCCTATTAGTTTAGAATACATGGTTCCCTTCCATGATATCTTCTGACTGTGGAGTGAGGACACATTCTATGGACTATTTGTCCTCTCTTCAGATAAATTTTTTCATATTTTTGCATCTGCAAAGGAAACAACAGTTGAAAAGGAGGAATACTTATCCATAAATTCAGAAATCATGATTGATCCCATCTTCTTAAATACCCAATATGGGTGATCAATCATTCAATTTTCATGTTGCTTGCTTGTGTAGCTACTATTGGCCTTTCCAAGAACTCCAAGTAAACCTAAGAGAAGTATCACTAGTAGAATCCAACTAAGGCATCTGCACCTCAAACTGGTCACAATAGGAATTACAATAGCCATCAGCAAGAACCCCAGCTAAACCTCATCCTGCAGTAGCTTTCCATAGCCTTTTTTCACTACTTGGAATACTGCTCAGTCTCCAAAATTCATTACTTAAGACCAAAGGATCCTGATTAAAGTTGATTCCCAATCCATGAGTTCAAATAAACATAACCACTGGATACTACCCCCTAGAGCTAGTACGATAAGGTTTCCAATAGTCATCATACCTAATGTACAATACCACATTTACGCTGAACTCAAGCTGAATCCCTTTAATGAAAGCTAAAAGAAGTTAACAATTTTCGTTTCTCCTATTAGTCTCTGCCCTCACTTGCAAGATTCAAGTTAAACTTACAAGCGACCTGCTCCCTTTTACTTAATGAGAACTTCAGTAGGCACATGGATAGCCTTAACCACCTTGAAACCTTTCTTGCAAATGCAAACTCAAGATACAAATTTTATTTTACCAGCTCAAGGAACAATGTGCAAAAGCACGCATTAAACTATTAGCATTCAGCAACATCAAAGGCACAGCAGATCCCAAATAGCTTGAGAAGCATAACAAACCAACCATTACAGCACTCTATAAGCCCAATTCTCACTACCCTTTTAAGTTTTAAACTCGAGCCTTCAAATGCTTGACTAGCACCTAAGATTTGAGAAAAGCACAATAGCTCAACCCCACTTCTCTTTTCCATTATAAATGAATAATAATCCACAACTTTTGCCAATGACTAGTTCTATCAATGATATGACTACAGAAAAGGAATGAATCATTAATCAACTACTCAACAGTATGCTTACCTATGAAGCAAGTATTTTGTCCACACCTTTTACTTACTACTCACTACTAAAGGAGTTTAAGCCCAAATTCCATCTATGAAAATGACTAAATGGAATGAAGCAAATGCCAAATTGTAGCAATCAACATTAACCAAGTGAAAACCAATGAGTAATGACATCACATAAAAAAAGGCTCTAAAAATGACAACATAACCAAAAACAAAACTAAACATATCATTATCATCATCATCAATCACAAAATAAAAGCTTAAAAATCAATTGATCAAAAATTTAACACAGAAAATGGACTTACCCCAGTAACCTTGACAAACTGGCCATCAACAGCACCTCTAAGCTCAGCATCAGGGAACTTTTTAACAAACCCCAAGATTGCCCTCTTCCCCCAAGCATAATTCCACCCTAACCACATGAAAATCGGAACCAAAATCGCGGCAAAAACCACCAAGATCACAGCTTTTTTAACGGCAACCATCAGAAACACCCCAATCAACAAACCCATCAAAACCACAATCCCAAATACCCACATTGCCCCTCTTGAAACCCTCATCCCATACTTCACCCCTTCACTCCCTAAACTAGTGACAGCTGTCCCATACACCATCTTCCCTTGTCCCCCACCCCCAGTGGGACCCACTTGTTGCTGACCCGGGTCGAGCTGACCCGACTTCCGAATCGGGCCGGACGTGATGAGACCTGTCGGTGGGAGCGAGAGTGGGCCCGACACCTTCTTGGTAAAGGACCCCGAGTTGCTGAGGCGAGGAGGGAGCGGGCCGGAGTTGGGCCCGGATCGAGCCGACCCGGAGTTGGGCTGGGATGAGGCCCGAGAAGGTGGCGGGCGAGGAGAGGAGAGAGAAAGCGAGGAGGAGGATGTTGCGGTGGTGGTGTTGGAGCGTGGAGTGGCGGAGGTAATGTCGAACATCTTGCCGAGTTCACCGGATTTCTTGATGTCGCCGCCAGTGTACGGAACCGCCCGCGCGGCCATTGTGGGCGGGCGCTCCTTGGGCTGGGAGTCGGGCCGGCCCGAAACGAAGAGCCCGTTTCTGAGCTGATGGGATTGAGTGCGGCTTCCCATTATGAAGAGGAAAGAGAAAGAAGAGAAGTGAGTGAGAGAAAGAGAGTGATGAAAGTGGGTGAGGAGGGAAAGAGAGAGAAAGTGAGTGTGACTGTGTGAGTGAGTGAGGATTTTTAGGGGTACGTGAAATGACGAAAATGGGGTTGAGACTGGAGAGTCGGTGACAAAGACTTGTCTCTTGTGCTTCCTTGTGTCCATTGTGTGGGTTTGTGTGTAGACCCGTATAATTTTAACTCGACTCACAAACCCGATCTTAATCTGACTTGTTTAGTAGATTTTGATTCTTTTTTTTGACTCGTAACTCAAAACCATTTAACATGCTCATTTGATAGTCATACCTGTTTTGTGCGGTATTTTTTTACAAAATAAAATTACATTTATTGGAAAAGAAAAAAGGTTTTTCTTTAGTTGAGTTTGTTCTTCGCCCACAATCCTACATTCATCTCTCTAGATCCAAACCAACCGTCAGCCACACCAACCCATCGACCCACACAAACAACCAATCACTGACCCACACAAAAAGCCACCCACACCAACTAATCTACACAACCTACGTCACCGTCACACTGCCACCAATTGCATAGCCCACAAGAAATGCGCCGTTAAATGGTGTTTAATTTGAATTTTGTATAGCCAACGCCTTTAACAATTATACTCCGTATCTATATTTTGTAATTGAAGGTTGAATTGTATTACATTGCATTGATAAACTTTACAAACTATTACAAAGATAGTCACTAAGGATAATGTAATGTTCTAAGTTTTTTTTGTTTTATTTTTTTTTAATAAAATGTAAAGCTCTAAACTCTAATCTAATTGTATTCCTCACTATCTGAGTGACATAGAAAAGCGAGGAGACAAACCGCAGTTGCCTTTTGTTTCGGGGTTTTTGATGTCCTACGGGAGAGTTACAATTCCAATACTGACCTCTGGACGCCTGTACCTGCAAAACAATGGAGACCCCTGTGGGTGGGAGTTCCGCCTCCGACGATCAAGTTAGAACATGTATGAGGAGTGAAGTGCGGAAAGTAAAAGGTCTCTCTCGGATTCCAAGAGAGTATCTGCAACGTGAGATTGCTCAATTTGAGGCGTCAGGTGTCTGACTTTCTCTGATGGAGAGTTAATGTGAATTATGTATTTCTGAATAAAAAATGTCCCTCGGAGGGAAACAACTCCCTTTTATAGGGTGTTGGAAAACGTACCCAGTACTAGGTTTTAATAAACCTAGGGCTGACTGGGCCTTACCTAGGAATTTGGGCCGTGGGAGGCCACTTTCCTAGTTGGCAATTCTGCCTGCCACATGTCGTGACCTGATTGGTCCACCTTGGACCTCTCACAAGGTGACACGTGGTGGGCTCTAGTTGGTCCACGTGAATGACACATGGCAGGGCTTCATTGGTCTACGTGGCAAGGAAAAATCCCCTATTCATTTGCCCCTCACAAGGGTGACGTGGCATGCCACGTGGCACTTGTGAAAGGTGTCACGCCATGATTGGCTATTGGTTTTTACCGTTTTTTTTTACCCTTGACATTCCAATACTGCGGGAGGGTTACAATTCCAATACTGACCTCTGGACGATGTCTTGCGGGAGAGTTACAATTCCAATACTAATCTTTGGACGCCTGTACCTGCAAAACAACGGAGACTCTTGTGGGTGGGAGTTCCGCCTCCGACGATCAAGTTAGAACATGTATGAGGAGTGAAGTGCGGAAAGTAAAAGGTCTGTCTCGGATTCCAAGAGAGTATCTGCAACGTGAGATTGCTCAGTTTGAGGCGTCAGGTGTCCGACTTTCTCTGATGGAGAGTTAATGTAAATTATGTATTTCTGAATAAAAAATGTCCCTCAGAGGGAAACAACTCCCTTTTATAGGGTATTGGAAAACATGCCCAATACTAGGTTTTAGTAAACTTAGGGTTGACTGGGCCTTGCCTAGGAATTTGGGCCGTGGGAGGCCACTTTCCTAGTTGGCAATTCTGCCTGCCACGTGTCGTGACCTTATTGGTCCACCTTGGACCCCTTACAAGGTGACACGTGGTGGACTCTAGTTAGTCCACGTGGATGACACATGGCAGGGCTTCATTGGTCCATGTGGCGAGGAAAAATCCCCTAATCTTTTGCCCCTCACAGGGGTGACGTGGCATGCCACGTGGCGCTTGTGACAAGTGTCACGCCATGATTGGCTAATGGTTTTTACCGTTTTTTTTACCCTTGACATTCCCCCCTATAAATAGGGGGTGTCCAAATCATTTGGACATTCTAGAAACTTTTTTAAGACAGAACTTTGGACGTTTGATCTGACACTTTGGACGACTGCCTCTTGTTTACAGACCGGCTGCTTCTTCAGTCGCTCAGTTTTTCATCCAAGACGTCTCTACTCAAAGGTAACCGCCTGTTCCCTTTTTCACTTTCTCTTTGTTTTTTCTTTTTTCAAAAATGGTAGCCCAAAAGCACCCGACACGACCTAGGTTAGTGATCAGCCAGTCACCGGCGATGGCTGAATCTAGAACTAGGAGTGCTGCCTGCCCCATGCTGGACCACCCTTTGCGAAATGCCCAGAGTCCGACTGTCTATGTGTCTTTGCAGGACACCATGGCAAAAACAGAGAGAATGGCCAGGATAACAAATTCAGACGACTCCTCATTTTACGCGCCCATTAGCGAGATCTCGGACATGCCAACAGGCGTCCCAAGCACCCCAAGTGATTCTATTTTGGCAGAATCAGGGGAGGAGGTTCAGAATGACCCTCCTATCATTGATCTATCCATGGTTACATTCTTATAGTGTCGGATGCCGAGGATACGGTAATCTGGCCAGAGAAGTCCAGCTATAGGGACGAGTGTTTTGGCTGCTTTGAGGCGGCCATTAAAGCTAGTTTAAGATTTCCTCTACATCCGGCTGTAGAGAGGATTTTGGATGGGTACTAGCTAGGTCTCTGGCAACTGGCCCCAAACTCATGGTTCAACATCTTGGGCTATGTTGCCGACTGTGAGATATACGAGGTGGAGCCAAGCTTTGAAGCTTTTGCTCACATGAACTACCTTAGTCGGACCCCAAAAACAAGCAGGACCGGCTGGTTCCAGCTGACTAGCCACAAGGGCTACATGATGACTATGGGGAAGGAGAACAAGTGGAAGGATTGGGGGATCACCTTTTAAATTTTCTCCCACCCTGACAAAGTTAAGAACAAAAAATTCAATAGGTGGAACAGGGATCCACCTTACTTGACAGGCGGATCCGACCTGCCGCCTGTCCTCGAAGAGCAAAAAAAGAGATCCTTGACCGAAGGCTCTTCAAAGTTATAATACAGGCGAACCCCAGATTGGGGTGAGGGAGTTCGTCCCTCAAAATTACATCCCAAAGTATAACTGGTTATACGATGGGACATACCTGGCCGCCTACGGCCTTAGCGAGGAGATGCCGAGAGGTAGGGGGCCGCCTATTTAGAGTGTCTTGATAGACTTGACTGATTCTGTGTCTAACCATTTGATTCATCTTTTGCAGACAAAGCTATGGACAAAATCTCGGCCTCCAAGAAAGTAGCCGCCCAACTCCGCGCAGCCATTCTTGGTAAGCGGTCCACTTAGGAGTCGCCTGCCAAACAGGCGCCTAGGGTGAGCTACCTTACCTTAGCACAATTTTCTCTCCCTTTTTATCTATCGCTTGTCTTTGACTTAATGACTTGTTACAGAGCGACACTGTCAGACCTTCCTCCTCTTCCCAGCCGGACCCAAAGGCCAGGAAGAAGACGACTGGGGATGTGTCAACTCCTGGCAACGCTAGGAGACAGACGACCGAAAGGCAAGGAAGGACTCCCCAAAGCGGGGCAAGGACTTCGGCCACCCCTGGGAGCAGCCGGCCTCCAAGAGAAAAGGAGGCGGCGAGAGGTATAATTTGTTCAAATCTTCAAAGTATCATCAAGCAACCGAGTCCTCTGATTTCAGGCGGCTGGTTTTCTGTTTTCATGCCACGTATTAATCAGGGTCTACCTTGTAGATGCCCCTCAAGAGCCTGACCTGGTTCAGATGGCCAAGGCCATGCTGAAGGCCATTTCTGCTGAGGACAGGGAGTTTGTTAAGGGAGTCGGCACCCTTAACCTTGAGGTCATCCTGGCTCTTCTTGCCGAGGTATACTTAGTAAAAAAGTTCTCTTTCATTTTATTTAACATTTGCCTGGTCGCTTGTAACTGACGACTGTTTTTGGCCGACTGCAGTCTATGCTACGAGTGTATGGTCTCCACAAACTCATCACCGAGAAGAACAAAGAGGTAAAAGCTGTGAAAGCCATGGCCGCCTCTAATTCCGATAAAGCTATGTTCCAGATAGCTCAAAACGAGATTCTGACCACTATATTGTATTATCAGGCGTCCGCCACTTTGCAGGCCAAGAAGGACTTAGAGGGGGCCAGGAAAAAGATCTTGGAGTTGGAGAAGTCTTTTAAAGACCTCAAAGCTGAGATGGCGCCTCTAAAGGAGGCAGACAAGAAGGCCGAGGGACTCCACGCTCGGGTGAACAAGCTCAAGGGCCGCCTGCAGAATTAAGAGGCTGACCTCACCCAGAAACTTAATAAGAAAGCTGGCGAGGAGAAGATGGCTCTTGTTCAGGACATGATGGACGACTACAACGCCATTATGAAGATGACTTGGGCGGCCCTCTTCCCTGATACCGGCTATGAAAAACGGGGGAGCCAATCCGACGTCTGTACTGATCAATACAACAAGAAGATCATGGGGCAGGCAGACGGCGAGGAGGAGGCAGAGGATGAGGCGTCCGACTCCACTTCCGCGGAGTCGGACCAGGAAGAGGATGACAAGCAGGAGGCGGATGTTGACGAGGAGCCGCCGGAGGAGGAGACGAATGCCGATAAAGAACAACCGCTAATTGATGATCAAAATCAAGCGTCTGCCGACACTGAAGGTCCTCCTCCAGCTGCTTGAATTCCAATTCTTTTATGTCAACTTTCTTCGGCCTGTGTGCCGCTTGTTCTGTATCTTTACCTGACCAAGGGGTCGGGGTTTATTGACAATTTGAAATATTAACATTTCCAGTCGGTCACCTGGCCGACTGTTTACATCAATCATCTGGTTGTTTTCATCAGTATTCATCCATTGTTGAAGTTTTTGAATTTTTGCTTTTCACTTTTTGC